GTCTATATAGTAAAAAAAGAAAAGAAAAGCAACAAAGAACCAAAAACAGCAAATCAAAACAAAGTAGTAATGCAAAACAAAACAAAAACTAACTTCGAAACCTACTCCCACCCTTCTCCAGGCCTGAATAAGCATAACCAACCAACCAACCAACCAACCAACCAACCAACCAACCAACCAACCAACCAACCAACCAACCAAAACAAACAAACAAACAAATAAACAAACCAACAAACCAACAAACAAGCAGGCAAGCAAACAAACAAACAAACAAATTGATAACTTCAATGCAAAAAGAAGCTCATCTTTCCCCTCAAAAAGGCACCCCCCCCCCCCTCCAACCTTGCCAAAAAGCACACACAAAATGACCAAACAAACAAACAAACAAATTAATAACTTCACTGAGATACAACGTCTAAAAGCTATACGCTGCGTTATGAAAATTCATATTTCTCCACGTCCGTCAGACCACCTGCATTCTGGGAGTATCGATTTTGTCGGACGTGAAAGTCGTCAAATGCCAGAGCAGCGAACAGGTCAAGCCTCAATACTGAAGCCATATGAAGCTCAGTTATTTGTTTTCTTCGCTTTTCACTTTTCATTTCCTTTGATTTTCTGTTTTGTTTTTCAAAAAGAACAGTTTTCGAATTTCTAGGCCTGTGTGAACTTATTGATTACCGAACAAACCTCACTGTAGCATACTTTAAGAAGCACGGCTAGTTCATTTATTTAGGACCTTCACGATAATGTCAGTAACATAAGCTCAACTACAAGAAATGACGTTAGTCAAACATAATTGTTCAATACTTTAGAAAGCTTTTTAAAAAAGAATTATGTATACGTGATTCTAAGTCTGGCCTCAAGGCAACTTTTAAAAGCTACAGGTAACAAAAAGATAGGGTTCGACCTGGGACAGCATATTATGCATGGTCGATTACTCAACTTCCTCAACAGCTAGACAACAATGCATGTTGGCTCTACAGTGATGCTGGCGAGCATACGTCAGATCTTATGTAGATGTTCCAGGCTCCCAGCCCTAAAAATAACAGACACATGAGCTCTGTAAGCATCAAATGAAATCCCCCCCCCCCCCACAATCTCTTATCCCCAACCCCTTTGTCTCTTTCTTTCTTTTCTAAACACAGAACGTCTGTGGAACGCAGCGCGAGCATTTTTGAACGGGCACAAATATTGATTTTGTCCGGTTTTCAAGAAGAGGATTTGTTATAAGAAAAACCAACGATGGGGAAAAGGAGGAAGCGCCTACAAGAATTACGCTGAAACTCGCTTTAATGTCACCAATTCTTGAATAATGAATTGCGTATAGGATTGTTGGAGCTGAATCCCGGGCGGAGAGGGAGTGTGTACAGGCCTAAGAGTTCGTGTTTGGCTCTGGGCTCTCAGAGACGTGATGATGTCAGAATGGCTTTGTGTCTGAACCGAATGAGCACTCTTTTTGTATATTGTGTGTTGTTTTATGTTAGTGTTTGTGTTTTGTGAGGCAGGGAGGGAGGGACAGATGAGTGTGTGTGTGTGTGTG